AAATTAGTTGGAGGTCCATATGTTTGTGGAAAGGCAAACTGCACCATAAACGAACAGTTATCTTGTGTGCATTTGGATTTGTGACGTCGATTATCAAAAAGGATAACACAATACGGCCGATTTTATTTTCAATTCAACTCAATTAAAGCTTAAATGATGAGGTAGGTTCCTGAAACACCTTTTTTCGAAATAGATGCTAGTTTCCTGCTGCTTTTCGTCGCTTTCCATCTTATGTGCGCAAAATCACAAGGGCTGATGTGTGACCACTAAAACTTAGAGTAGGTGGTAACCAAATAGTTTGCCACGTAGCAGTATTGTCTTTATTGCTAAATCAATTGTTGCTATTTCATCCAAAGAATTGTACACTTTTAAGTGTAGCAAACAGGCTTGGTACATTTTTGTTTTTCTCGATCTTGTGGCACAATTTCTTCGTATTAATAAAGGCGGCCCATTTAATTACGAAAAAAAGATTTCAAGATGATTGGAAATTTTTTCCTTTTGTCGTAATATACTGAAGTTAATATAGTACATATAAAGTCACAATTCTTTTAATTTTTTTTGTTTTTCCGTTTTAACGGCTGTGGCCACCCTCGCTGTGTTTGGGAAGATGCGGAGAGAGTTCTACCGCTAACGTGCTACGTTTCAGCCACCAGTTGTAAGCGCCGAGATATGAAAACTTGAACGCGTCTTCGTCTCATCGGTCGCAGCCGTAAACATAGTCAGTCAATGCTAATGTATTTGGTATTACAGCTTTTTTATTTTGTTATTGTTGTTACATTTGCTATTGTTGATGTTGATGCTCCTGTTGTTGTTGTAGGTGCTGCAGTTGTTGTTGTTTTTAGTATCTATTGTTGATGCTACTCCTGTTGCTGCTGCTGTTGTTGTTGTCGATGCTCCGGTTGCAATTGATGATGTTCTCTTGTAGGATAGCAATTCCGCGCTCATTCGCTTTTTTATGCGTCGACGCTCGCCAAATATGTTCCGATGCCGAAGGAGTCTGAGTCGTAGTCGAAGTCGGAGCTCGAGTCGTTCACGCATCAGCCTCAGTAGCCGAAGATGACATTTCAGTCGATTGTGGTAGAGGTAGTGATACAAGATGCAGCCGTTGCAGTGGATAGGGTCGCGTGCTCAAATGCTTGCAAAATGAGTGTGCTGGTGCTCGGTGACGGACAGTGTCATGTGCCTGTGTGTGTAGTCAGTAAACGATGCGTGTGATTTGCTACGACCGAGCTGCGATCAAGATTAAAGTCACAATTATTGTCACGATGTAATATATGCAAATTTTACGCTGAATTGCCAGCATCTACTGTGATGACTTGAAGTAGGTAGTATCGTGCTCATATAAATTGCGGTGAGAACCTTCAAAACCAGACAAAGGAACTTGTATCGATGTGCTGCGCCTATGTTAATTGAAGTTTTGCTGCAACATGATTCTAGACGTAAGAGGCACCATGTGTACTAGGACGTGGGCCTTTTTTATTTATCTGAGGCATTTTTTTAATTTTCGTAAGAAATGAGCATTTTATATTTTTCCTTTCTTTTTTATTTATTTTCTTGGTATAAGTTGCATATATTCCTAAAATACAATCAAATTCGGATCTTAGAAATGTCCTTTACCTTTTTTAGAATAATTGCATATCTAATATTTGTTTTATATTCAATTTTTTGCTCGTTGTTCACAATCTTACTTTCGTAATATTGTAAGATTTGTCATTAACGTATTCTAATAAGTCCGAGATTTTCTGGCACAAGACGAGCATAGCAACGAGGCAATCTCCGTTGAATCAATGAAGAGCTTGCGTAGAAAGTAAAATACCGCATTTATGCAAGTAAAGACCAACGATAAAGTCAATTTGAACCAAACGCCTTTTCCTTTCTCACCTTTAAGACTCGTTATTCCCGAAACTCACGATGAAAAGTGAGCCATTGTTTGAGATGACCGCCCGGTCTCGTGTCGACCACGGCACTTCAATAATACAATTTTTAGCTTCATAGACAAGAGATGTAGACCGCCACTGCATTAGGCTAATAATAATCTTATTCAGGGTGGAATATCCCCTATTGTGAAGCCTATATAGAAGGGTAACGATCATCTTATTTTAGACAAGTTAAAAGCACACGAATATCGTGTAGCCCTTAACACTTTGTTGACGATCGAGTTTTATATTGTTTAGTTAAAAGCACTTAATAGACGTTCTGGTTATTGATCCTATTGTCTAAGTTCTACACTGCAAGTAGCACTTGTATTATCTTCAAACATTTTAGTTTAACGGGAGGGGCCGTTACATACAAATTGATATTTTCGTATCAGTTTTGAACATTATCTAGTTAGATAATGTTCAATTGACATAACCTGTAAGGATCAAAGCTGAAGGATTAGTACCGCCGAGGATAATGTTTTTTTGATGGTGTAACGATCACACCCTTGCGTGAACTTAACGCAAGGGTATCGGTGCCCCGACAGACGTACACGAGGCAAACGAGGAAGCGTACGTAAGGAAAAAGTAAAACTGTTATGTTAATATAATTAAGTCGTTTAACCACTGTCTCTCTGTTTGACTTAACTTAATTATACTAATCTAACTGAATGTATGACGACGTCTCGTCACCACTCATTGCGCGCGTCCTGCGGCGATTGGTGGGTTGATCTCATCAAGAAATCAACCAATGAGCAGACTCTTTGGTCGACCCTTCAATATCACCATTATCGGTGATATTGTTCAATGAAATATCCATCTTTATATTATTTGTTGTCACTTTCTTTAAAGTGACACTTCCATGTAACGGGCTGCTCCGTTACAGATGGGTCGCTCCACCTGATGGTTGATGTTCACGGTACATCAACCAGATTAATCACTAATCGCTGCTGGACGCGCGCAATGGGTGGTGAGCAAGAATCCCACATAGGAGATTGTAGTTAAATATAGTTAGCTCAAGACAAAAAATGGTTTATTGAGAAAACATAACTATGTTGAATACAGTTCTACTGTTTCCCTTCGACCGAGCTTTCGAGTTCAGCCTACTTCGCTGCGCTTCCACACGCCACGCGTACGTGACATCGGGTGCACACAACCTTGTGTTGAATTGACACAAGGCGTGCCCCATTACAGTTGGGCTGTTGGCGGTCTCGCGGATGCATACGTGCGTGGAAGCTAAACGATTCAGTGATATGCAGCTCATTACCATGACCGGACCAGGAACGATATACTGATGAAGCGCACCAGCCTGTTATCGAGGTGTTCAGGTCTTCGGCTTTGGCGTACCGCTCGCGCTATTACCTTACAGATTGAATCCAAGATCACTCATTTTACCAGGTAAAATACGTGATGATCGGGTACAGCACGCTATGATTTAAATTATTTCGTCAGTGTCCAGATTGGCATGAAATACCATTCAACATCCATTGACGCATCATCCCCAAGGCCATATGCCTCATTACCATTTGCAAAATATGTTTCGAAATTCATCCGCATGTGCCGCTAAACTACATCCATTTCCAATTTATTTACGCACGGCCGCTTTGCCTGCAGCTGTTTTATGCATGACGGCAGTCTACACCATGTTGGTCTCGATCGCTGACACTGCTCTTTTTAGCAAAAATAGCGCACATGCTCTGTAAACCGGTGCGACTACGCAATGGATAGATTTGACATCTTTATTACGTCCCCGGGCTTGTACTTTAATGCTGCGTACTTCAATGTAGCCAAACCCCTTTTGCTTAATGAGGAGCAGTACGATCTCTACGCCAGATTTAATCAGAATCTTGTATCTGGCGTCACTGTTGAGTTAGTCATCTTCTACATTCTGACTGATGATTATACCACCGGGTCGCCCTTTGCCGATCCATCCCAGTCGAACATGTGTGTTTAATATCTCTAACAGGCTGATGCATGATATCGAAGATAAATGCGATTTTTCACTATATCACGAGTCTTGATGGTAATGCGTTCAGACCAACGAGCGAGTGCTCGAACCCTTTAACGTCACGGCCGGTGACTTGGTCCATAAGGCATGTGTTACCGAACTTGGCTGCGCAAAGACCATAAGTGGAGATAAGATGGACATGAACGTGACAGATCGAACAGCTTCAAGGTGCTGTCCAACGGCGTGTCAAAAATGTGCGAGTTAGTAAGTGGTGGAGCCAAACACCATGACGGACGACTTCGGCAAGTCGCTGTTGCTGATTCATTAGCCTTCATCGAAGCAGCGCTTCCAGCATGAAGAAGTCTGATCGCCGCTAGCTGCTAATAGTTAGCATCAATAATCGCTCTTTCGCTACGTGTTTACTTCATGATCCATTGCAGAAACTGTCCAAGCATACGGCAACGACGACACCAACCGTTGATGTGACTTCTTTTATTGATCTTTTGCCTTGGCCTATGTAATATCAAACTTTGACACCGCTTGACTATTACAAATCTTACGGTGCATCTTTTGCGTGATTGACCTATAAGTCCTCGATGGTTTCATTCGTCTCATCTTGGCACAAGCGTCACGTTTATTTCCATATAATTGCCGCTTGTCTCAGCAATACTTCGTCGGAAGAGCGGCTCAGTGTGCTGGTTTTTGCATCGTGCTCTCAAATGTTTAGGCTAAATGGTGCCGGCGCCACGATCTCGTCGTCACCTACGCGTTTCATCTGGACGTAAAACTCGCTTCATCTCGGATTGGGAGTCCTCACCACGCTTGAGTTCAACCAAGAGCAAGTGTGTCAGCCGCTAGAGAGAAAACTTCATTGGCGGACACTTGTTGCACGACCACACGGCAAGGTCTACGAGGATTTTGACTCATGCAGCATGACCATTGGATTTTCACGGCGGTGGTGCATTAGCCGATCAATGTCCAACGATTAATCACAAAGACGTACAGGAGACGTGGCTGGCATGGATAAATCGCTTTGCAACCAGACCACAAATGGGATCAACTGTCATGCGATTGAAAAAGAGTCGTAAGCTTTTTCTGACCTTGTCTTACGCAGCGGCACAGAAATATCTTGCCGTCTACATTCTAGCATCGCCCGAGAGCTTTGCAGCTGCCTCGTCGTCGATAAACCAGTAGACAATGCCCTCCGTAGGCTTTACGTTGGCGGCGGGAAGAGGAGGTGTTCGTTTCTCAATGCCAATCATGTGCGGAATCAGCTCGGCCTTACTAGCGCCTGTAGCGACGAATGCAATCTACACAAGCAGCATCGACGTAACATAATTAGCTTGGTCAAACACTTCGATCAATTAACAAGAGGCACGTACATTGGCAGCATTGTTTAAGACCGGGTAGGTGAGCGTGATGCGCTGCGACGGTGGCTTCGGCGAGTCTTCTATGGAGGCCACAAACAGCGTCTTCTCTTCCAAAAGCGGATGGCCAGGAAAGAGCGAACACATGTGGCCATCGGGACCCATGCCCAGCAAAATCAGATCAAAGCGAGGAAGCTACAGACAGCAGCATCTTTAGCTGTTGCACGACAGCAATCAAAGAAGACGATCGAAGACTCACATCGCTTCCCCACACAACAGCCAGCTTCTTTGTATAGTCCTCGGCCATGGCTTGCGGGGTCAGCGAGGCATCGATGGCGAAGACTTGACGCTCTGGAACAGGAATCTGCGTACCAAACCCATATTAAGTGCAATTAGTATTACAGCCCTCTCCGCCGACCGAGAACAACAAGACCAATTAGCTCTTACCGCGTCCAAGAGCGCCGCTTTGCACGCCTTGTAGTTGCTGTCGTCGTGGTCCAGTGGGACGCAGCGCTCGTCCGCGAAATAAACAAACCACTTGGCAAAGTCAACGTGGTCCTCTATGTCGGACAAGCCCTTGCTCAGGATCTACAGCCAAGTCCTCCAGTCAGCAGTAATACGAAAGAGACATCTACCTATCAGGTGCAGACAGACCAATAGCTCTGCTATACCTTTGGCAAAGAGCCGCCGGAGAGCGCCACGGTAAAGCGGTCGTTCGTCGCAATAGATCGCTTGCTCAAGTCCAAGAGGAGCTGGCCGACCTCAGCGCCGACACCGTCGACGGTCTTAGACACGCGGAGGACCATTGTGGAATGGAGAGGTCTCTGCCAACTGCGACGTGGTAATTGGTTGAAATACAATATTGTACACTCTGTTTTCGCATGTGTATCGAAGGGGTTGTGCGCTTAGAAATAGCAGAGACCCTATTCACAAAAATGAAGAGGCTATAAAAGGATAGATCGTAACTAAGTGAGCGATACATGCGTAACTAAATCACTCATGATACTTTGTGCAAAAATGGCTGTAAACAAATTTAAAAGTTAAACAACGATAGCGGTGCTTTTCCGTCCGCGCTTAGAGGCTGATCCTCGGAAGACAGCGGGAGCCAGCTGGGATCTAGTGTGAATACTGTAAGGCTAGCATGTTGTCGAGCACTTGTACTATGGGGAAAACCTCTAATTTCGCGCATCGCCAAGGCTCTGAAGGACGTATTCCAATTTCCTAAAGGCGACTCACGCTAGGAGGTGTCGTGGTCTGCTTTCCTCCACATGCCATCGTTACGCTCGCTGTGTATGGGAACTGCTGTGCAAATCATGACACTAAGTGTCACCACACCTGTGCTCTGACCACGAATATATTATCAAATAAGTGAGCAGAGCCATTGCCGCTGTCGTGGATGCGTTGTGTTGAGCTTGACAAGTACTAAATCGGATAGAGACATTTTTGAAAGTTTCTCGAGAATCCGTTCAGAGATAGCGAACATTTTATCACATGCGCCGTTACACACATTTTAAAGATGTGCGTGGAAGTCTTTATTGGACCACGACACGTAATAAAGGCCCGACAAGTACTGTCGGCGTGTCCATTCGCACTTTACTAACGGAGTTTATTCACTGCAACTCGGTATGCCGTTAAATATGATAGCCCGATATTTCGCTGGTATGCGCCCATTTATAGATCAAAAGCAAACGTGCTGGTGCTGTACATAATTAAGTATAGGTAACAAATGTGGGCTATAATTTCTATCGCAAGGGTTACTATTGTCAAGTAAACCGGTATGTGGGAGCCAAAACGTTACATCAGTCGGTCCCCTTTTATGTTCGACATTGTATTATGATATGAGATCCCTCTGGGTGCCGATAGTGTCCGGGATCCACGTTTTCTTCGACAGAAATTGTAACGTGGTAAGCCCGTTACATAAAAATTTGATATCTTTGTATCAATTTCGAACATTATCTAGTTAGATAATGTTCAATTGACAATACATGTAGGGAGTAAGGTTGAAGGAATAGTACCCCCGAGGGTAACGTTTCTTTGATGGGTTGCTCCACCTGATGGTTGATGTTCACGGTACATCAACCAGATTAATCACCAATCGCTGCTGGACGCGCGCAATGGGTGGTGAGCAAGAAAGCCACATAGGAAATTGTAGTTTAATATAGTTAGCTCAAGACAAAAGATGGTTTATCGAGATAACATAACTATGTTGAATACAGTTCTACTGTTTCCCTTAGACCGAGCTTTCAAGTTCTGCCTACTTTGCTGCGCTTCCTCACGCCACGTGTACGTGACGTCGGGTGCACACAACCTTGTGTTGAATTGACACAAGGCGTGCCCCGTTAGGCAAATCCAGTGTATAGGTTTCTGCTATTAGTTAAACAATCCAACAATGTATCACATACATTTAACAAAAAATGCGTCAAATACGACAAAGTACTCCCACGGGATCAAAGTTATCGACATTCTTCCTTACCCTGCTTTACACCGAAAAGTGGAAATATGGCGGAAAGGTCCCATTAGCCGAACCGTTTGTTGCCAAGTTTATAGCGCCACACTGGAAACTTCCACCCGCCACGGACGCACTGATGTAATCGGACTGGCGGCGGCTTGGCGGTAGGATGACTTGGAGGTCGCAGCGGCTATTTATGTACTTATCTGGAAGGATATATACATTAGGCATCATCGGTTAACTGTTTGAGGACTCAGGTTTTTCGTAGCATAGTGCAACGGGCGTATGTACATTAGAAAAGGCTCAATGGGCACCCAGGCTTCCCTTTTGTCAACTGCGATGCGACCCATTTCAGCTTATTTTTTTATAACGAACGTTATTTTATGCATCCCTATTTTTCTATCAACATAAATCATAAACTAATTTTTTATTTTATACGTTTATCCAATATGTATACTATTTATATAATATTTGCCTTTCGTTATACATTTAATTTTTTCTTATTAGCAGGTATACCTCCTTTAGCTGTTTTAACCTGGTATGGAGGTTATCATGCAGAAACGTTGTCAAACGCTTTCTCGATCCACAAAGGACCTTGTTGCGAGCTAGTTAAATGACGTCCTCTTCCAAAATTGAAGGCTTATAAAATATTCCAGACGTTTCAGGCGATATGGAGGAAAAGATGCCGATGTAGATTTTCTCATTTGGCTAAAATACGTTATCGCGCGTCACGATTGCTAGAAGAGAGGCTTCAAAAAGGGGCATTAACATTAAACATGATACACACGCTCAAGCTACCGCTAAAGCCTTACATCTAGCCATAGAATTCGCATTATCGGCACTTACAAGGACACGGGGGATAGGCTTTTCAGCACGCAGTCTAGTTTGCTGCGACAACTTTCAGTCCGTGCTGTTTTCGACGGCGGGGCTCGAAGCAATTCGGGACCAGCTGGATACGACTCGGGTGATGCATATGCAGGCTCGGATTCTATTCTGCCCGAATACACTGATTGGCCAGTGTGTCGTACGCCACCAAATTCACTACGCAGAATTACACGGAATAGAGAGGACTCCTTGTTGGACTAAGCAAGGTGCTCTTTTACAACTTACGCGGGATCATCGTTGTTGGGGACAGTCAACTCATCCTCCAACACATTTTCGACGACGGCCACCTAGGGCATCACGATTACGTGATGTGTATAATCAATGTCGCGCTATCGCGGATCATTTTATCATTGTGCATTGTACACATCTGTTTTGTCAGTTTAAACAAAATGGCGGATGATTTGGCAAACATTGCTATGGACACTAAGACAACTACCTAAGTGCTGGCTGCTGCTTTCGCGCGGGTTTCTGTAGCTTGTCAAATGGTTTTGGATTCTCCAGAGAAGTACATTAATCTTTGGAGCTCCATGCATTCGCCTACGGCTTACTTTGACGAGCATCTGTCAAATTTACCTTGGCAGGGTCTTGTATCTGCACAAGCTAGCAACTACGTTGTCAGCTAGATGCCGGGGGATGTATGGACCCCCTGCGCCGAGACAATGGCAAGTCGTTCAAATACTTAAATTACTGTAATGTACCTATCAAAAATACGCACATTTCATGTTTTGGCAAATTAATTGGTGCCAAGTAGATACTTATATTTGTGATGATTTTTTTTCAATATAATGACCTCCGCCGATAATTCGATTTTGACTGCTGTAATGAAACGCTTTTAGCTTATGATAGGCTCAAACGTCATAACGTTGGGGGTACAAGGATCCACTCATACCAAAGGGGTGATAGAAAGACAAGGGGCACAAAAGTGGCTAATAATGCAAAGATGAGATGCCATCAGGACCAATAATGGGGAAGATGGTTGTCAAGGTCAGATAAGCGGTGATGACGAAAGACGGGCGCGGTCCCTTCTGGGTGGATCTAGGTCTTGTACTGGTAAACCGAAATTCTCATCGGTAGAACTAATTCCCTCACTAGTAGACTTCTTTATAATCTGTAGACATGGACTCGCACTGGTAGATCCGGTACCTCATCGGTAGACCTGGATCTCACACTGGTAGACTCGGTCTCTCTTTGGTGGACTTGATTTCCTCTTCGGTGATCCTGGGTTCCTCATTGGTAGCCCTGTACCTCACAATGGTATAATCGGTCCCTCCTCGTTTGACCTGGGTCCCTCATTGGTAGACCCGGTCTCTATATATCCGTCTTAATCGACCCTTATGGACGAATGGTAGACCACTGGTAAATGAGTGAAAGGTACCTGGATCCATACTTTGGCGGGGATTTCGAATACAGGGCGTCGGAGGTAGGCTAATGTGGGACGAGCAACCATCTAATGGGTGGCTGCGTAACCGGGCCGCACTTCAGCATGTTCTGTGCCGGGCTCTGAAGGTCTCCTAAGCCGAAAATCCCCATATTGTAATGAGAGGTGTTGGTCCTGTTAGGAGTATGAACTGAGTCACAGTACTCGTAGTCCAACCCAACGTGATTTTTACGACCACGCACCATTATCTCTTAATATCCGTCAACTCCTGACTTGCCACATTAAGAGTCAGTTCACCGGGGAAAGATGGAGTAGAGATATTTTAGATTTGGACTATATCACATACTGCTCAATTGCGATCTACGTGGCACGTCTTCGTCGTGATTAAAGGAATTACTTGTTTAGTCTGCCCGCCTGATCCGGAAAAGGTTACCACTTTAGCTCCCGTCGAAGACAGTTGCGTGGCTCGATTAAGTGCAAGTAGACCCATTATAAGTGTTTAGCCGGTTGGTTTTTTTGATTAGCAACTTTCTCTCAAGACCCGCTATCCAAAGCGGCCTCATATCCTAGCTGTTAAGGATCACATCAAAGACCAGGAGATTAGTACCCCTGATATGGTACATGACTCCAGGGAGCGAAACGTTAGCTGAAAAATTTAATTATGAGCCAACTTTCGACCGAGTAGATCGAGTGGCCACCTACTGGCCGACCGAGTAATGCATATGTACTCGAGGCTCAAGATATACCTCTGCCAAGGCTAATACATCTCAGTCTCCATCCGAGTCACGACGAGTGCTATTCTTCGGCCGACAAGTACACAAGTTGCGTCAAGGTCTATACGAGGCATTAAGGTACCTTCCCCCGTAATTAGGCAGTCCGGCACAATGAGTTCCTTTGATTCTCATCACGAAGCTTTGAGAAACGACTTAGCCACACCAGCAGAAAGATATGGAAACAGCTGTATCTTTTTTGAAGTCACGCTACTTCACTGACGTCTTCAGCCTGACCTTGACTGATAGATTTTGTCGATATAAATTTAACGATGGAGATCAGCCTTGCCTTTGGCAAAACTACGCGGATATCAAAATCATTAA